TGAAGGAGCATGGTGTGAAGCTGCAGGAGGACGGCGACTGGATGCTGCTCGTCTCGGCAGCGGGAGAGGTGCTCGGTCGGGCGATGTACTCTGGGCGTGTCCTCTGCACCGGCTTGCTTGCTCAACGAGGTCGACGTCGCCCACGCCGGAGGTTGTGGCCCTGCGGGCGATCGCCTCGAAGACGAAGTTGACGCCGGACAGGATGCATGCGAGGCTTGCGCACGTCGGCATGGACACCATACGGAGCTCGGCGAAGCATGGGGTCGCTACTCAGCATGAACACCATACGGGCGCTGACTCACCGTGTGTCTCGTGCGTTGGCGGGAAGCTGGCGCGGCACACCTTCCCCAACCAAGGCTCCGACGCCGACGACGTGCTAGCCGTCGTGCACATCGACCTGTGCGGGCCGTTCCGCGTGGCTGCCAAGGACGACAGCTTGTACTTCTTGCTGCTCAAGGACCGCAAGACCCGCTACGTGTGGGTGAGGCCGGTCGCCAAGAAGTCGGATGTGCTGCTGGAGTTCCAGAAGTGGCTGGTGTTGGTGGAGAGGCAGGTGAAGAAGTCGGTGGTGATGCTGCGCTCTGACCGGGGAGGGGAGTTCCTCGGGAAGAAGTTCACTGACTTCGTGGACGACAAGGGGATCGTCCACGACCTTACCTGCCCGTACACCCCGTAGCAGAACGGCATGGCGGAGCGGGAGATGAGGACGGTGGTGGAGTCGGTGCGAACGATGCTGCTGCACATGGGCGTGCAGCACCACTGGTGGCACCTCGCTCTGCGACAGGCCGTCTGGGTCCGCAACTACCTTGAGAGGTCGACGCTTCCGCCGGGGACAACGCCGTACCAGCTGCTCACAAGGCAGAAGCCCGACCTGTCGCTGGCACGGGTGTGGGGCTGCATGGCACAGTTCCTAGTCCCCGAGCAGCAGCGTGGTGGGAAGCTGCAGCCGAAGGCCCGGTGGGGCCTTCACCTCGGGGTGTCGGGGAAGAGCAAGGGCTGGGAGCTCCTCGACATCGACGCCAACCGGGTGGTCACCACGTCGTACGTGGTGTTCTACGAGGATATGTCGCTGGAGGTGTGGAAGTCGGAGTACGGGCCGGTGTCAGGTCGGATGCCGACCACCCCGCCGACCGACACCTCAATGGCGACGCTGCCTCTGCTCGCCGAGGTCAGTAAGCTTGCTGATGAGGATGCCGGGGTCCTCCATCCTCCTTCCCCTAGGACCCTTGCCCCTCCCCTCGTGGCCGACCTGTGCGGGCTGACTCCTGTGTTGGCCTCCGGCGATGAGGGGAGTAGTGGGACGTTGCCTTCGGCGCCGGCCAAGGGCATCGCCGGTGGCCGACGTGACGAGCGCAAGTCAACGTTGGGAAAGAGCAGGTCGAGGAGGAGCAGCCGACTTGGATGAAGCCGGCGAAGAAGGCACCAGCCGTGCAGCAGCCGACAGGGGAGCAGGCAGCGGTGACGCTGACAACGGAGCAGTTGGCGACCAGGCAGTTGGCAGAAGAGCCTACCACAGGAGAGAAGTCGGCCAGGAAGCCGACCGAGGTGTAGTAGGACAACGAGGGCAGTGAAGCCGGCGACGAAGGAGGGGACGTCGAGAAGTCCACCGACAGCGACGTGGTGGAATTTCAGCCTGGACCTCGGAAGTCAGACCGACTTCGGTGGTCCCCTGACTTCTTCGTTCCCACTGCCTTCACCACGGTGACGTGGACGACGACGACTTGGCGTATGACGACGCCGAGGAGGATGAGGAGTTTCCGGAACTCGACCACGGCATGCATGCCGACCCCGAACACCGTTGGCACATCTCGATGATGACGGTGAAGGAGGCGTTGGCGAGCTGGAAGGGCCCGGCGGTGAAGGCCGCCATGGAGGAGGAGATCCGCAGCCTCATCAACATGGGCACTTGGGAGCTGGTCGAACGCCCGCCGGGGGTAAACATCATGAAGAACCGGTGGGTGCTGACGACGAAGTACCATGTCGACAACACCGTCGAGCGCGAGAAGGCGAGGCTGGTCGTGAAGGGCTTTACGCAGGTGTACGGCGCTGACTACGACGAGACGTTCGCGCTGGTGGGCAGCTACGTCACGCTGACGATCTTCCTCAGCATCGTCGCCGTCCTCAACCTCAACCTGATGCAGCTCGACATGAAAAACGCCTTCCTGCAGAGCAAGCTCGACAGGGTGCTCTACATGTCCCAGCCGGACTGCTTCAAAGACGAAAACGGCTGGGTGTGCAAGCTGCTAAAGAGCCTCTACGGCCTGAAGCAGATGCCGCTGCTGTGGTACTTGGCGCTCAACGACGTACTGGTCGGCGCTGGGTGGAAGAAGAGCCAGGTCGACGAGGCTCCGTACTTCAAGGTCGGCGACGACGGAGTGGCCTGCTGGGTGTTGGTCTACGTCGACGACCTGCTCGCCGCCAGCAGCAGCACCAAGATGCTGAAGGAGCTGCTGGAGTCCGCCTTCGAGCTGCGTGAGATCTCGTCGGTGCAGAAGTACCTCGGGCTGGAGATCGTCCGCGACAGGTCGGCGGGGAAGCTGTGGCTGCACCAGCAAGGCTACGCCGACAAGCTGCATAGGCGCTTCATCGACGAGGAGCAAACTGGGCGCACCCCGAAGACGCCGGTCTCGGTAGACGCCTACGCCGACCTCACCTTCGACGACGAGGAGGCACAGGAGCGACAGGAGGAGGAGTACCGGCAGAAGGTCGGCTCGCTGCAGTTCGCGGCGATGACGACGAGGCCGGACATCGCCTTCGCCTGCAGCAAGCTAGGGAGCGGCCAGCACTGACGGGAGGTCGACCGCTGCCTCGCCTACCTCGCCAACACCCGCGACACCGCCCTGGAGTTCGGCGGTGGACCAGAGTCGCTGGATCTGGTTGACCAGGAGTGACGTTGACCTGGAGCTGGTCGACCAAGGGTGTGGTCGACCTGGTGAGGCCGACCTGGAATGGTCGTCAACTTGGGAGGTCGACGGGCACATACAGGAGCAGCTGGTCGACGTGGTTGCCCGGTCGACCAGGTTACCTGGGTGACGAGGCTCTGCAGAAGAGTGCGACGGTCGCCCAGGCAATGTTGGCGAGGCTGAACTCGGGGGTGGTATCCCGAGGTCGACGTGGCAGATTAGGTGGAGTCGTCAGCACAAGGATGACACAGTGTGTGCGTTGTGCAGGTGACGAGGCTTAGCCTGCCAATCATCTGCTAGCACCTGCGAAGTAGGTGCGCTGCTGTTTTGTGGGAGCAACGCTGGCACGCCGACAACCTGCAGCGTTGGCACGCCATCGACTTTGCACCGCTGGAGCGCGGTTGACCAAGTTGTGCTGGAACGCGGTCGACCATGCTGCGCTGGCAGTCGACCGACCTGAATGCTAGCTCTGATGTAGTCTTGTCCTGCCAACTTTATTGTACCATTGTTCTCAACTTTCTCTAGTGAAGCTCTTGCCAAATTGCCCCGTGACCTAGCAAGCAGTGTGTGCACTAGGAAAACGACTAAGGAACAGAGAACGCAAAGATCACACGAGCATCCGTGCCTAGCCCATAGTCTAGCTCCCGTTGTAGTAGTTATCTCCGTAACAGCGACGCCGCTCACCAAGGTCGGTGACGAGGAAAGTCAGCCAGCGAAGCTCCTGGGTGGCCATGGCCGCAGCGTACACCTCTGCCTCACAGCTGGAACTAGAGACGGACGATGCCCGAGTCGACCTCCACGAAACAGCGCCGGTCCCAAGGCTAAAGCACTGACCCTGTGTAGACTGCAGCGAGTCTGCGTCGTCGACCCACGACGAGTCCGAGAAACCTGTAAGTGTAACTGGCTGCTTCCCTCCAAGGACAAGTCCCATGCCTGATGTACTCGCCACATACTTCGCCACCCTCTTAATAGCGTACCAGTGGGAAGGTCGGTGTCTCCCGGGCGCAACAAAGCGCGCAAGGACGCTAAGAGGGTAAGCTAGGTCTGGGTGAGTGCAGGTCATCGGGTACATGAGACAACCCACCAGCTCAGGATATGGACCACTGGACTCAAATGGCTCGTCCGAAGGTGGATCTGTCAGCCCATGATCCATAGCAAGAGGGGCGGGTTGTACCTTGGAGAACGGGAAGCGAAACCGCGTGAGGATCTGCTCGACCATATGCGACAGCGACAGCGTAATGGTGCGAGCTGCCCTATCCCTGGTGATCTGCAGGCCAAGGTAGCGCTGCAGCTCACCAAGGTCAGTGCAAGTGTGTCTCCTCTGCAGTTCCTCCTTCACGGAGGCCAGTGCGCATCGGTCGGGAGTTGCAAAGACCAGGTCGTCAACGTAGACCAGAACAAAGAACGGGGCCGAGCCATGGCGGACGAACAGCGACGGGTCGGCAGAGGACGGAAAGAAGTCAAGCGCTGCAAGAGTCGTACGTAGCGTGTAGTGCCACTCACGGGGAGCCTGGCGCAGGCCGTAGACTGGCCGACGCAGCTGCCACTGGGTCCCAGGAGAGAAAGTGCTAGTGAAGCCAGGTGGACGACGCAGCCAGATCTGCTCGTGCAGACTCCCCTAAAAAATCGCGGTGGAGAAGTACAGGGGTGCAACTTGTAGTCGCGTTGTGCTGCAATATGCAGCAACACCCAAAGAGTGGCCATCTTTGGGGTCGGTGTTACAATACTAAGTTAACTAGGAACCGGGTGTAGGGCCTAGGCTTAGAAGCCTAGGCCAAGCGGGTGTCGAGAGAATTGTGGCCAAGAAAAAGTGAGAATGTGTGGAGGTTCACTATAGCACACGAGTACATATAGCAACCTAACAAAGGTGAAAGAGGTGCACCACCATTCAAGGGCATAACACAACAGCTACACTACAGGCAGATTATACTAAATAGATATAAATCTATTGTGACACACCCCCTATCTGCCTGAAGTGCATAACCATGTGCAGAGCCCCCCTTGAAGGGGTACACCTGTAAAACCCCATTACAGGGCGTGGGAACACCAGCAAGGGGCCCCCTCTGAAGCTGACAAGCAGCAACCACCAAGCAGCATCTAAACCACCGCGGTGGAACAGGTGCCCGGCTGCGGTTGAACGCCCCGCAGCTGGTGCACGGTGTGTGAGGAGCACGGGTACGGGTAGCGGGTTCGGGCAGCAACTAGGTGCTGTACGGGACGGGCCGCACGGGGGTGACGAGCAGCACGAGACCGGGCAGCACAGACCGGGTGGGGCACGAGCGAGAACTGACAGCACGGGTGGGGCACCAATGGGTACGGACAGCACGGGTAGGGCACAAACTGGCAGAATGGGGCAGCACGGGCAGAACAGGGCAACACGGGCAGAACGGGGCAGGACACGGGCTGAACGGGGCAACACGGGCAGAACGAGGCAGGACACGGGCTGAACGGGGCAACACGGGCAGAACAGGGCAGAACACGGGCTGAACGGGGCAGGACACCGGCTGAACGGGGCAACACGGGCAGAACGGGGCAACACGGGCTGAACAGGGCAGAACACGGGCTGAACGGGGCAGGACACGGGCTGAACGGGGCAACACGGGCAGAACGGGGCAACACGGGGACAACGGGGCTGCACAGGAAGAACGGGGCAGGACAAGGGCTGAACGGGGCAACACGGGCAGAACAGGGCACCACGGGCAGAACGGGGCAGGACATGGGCTGAACGGGGCAACACGGGCAGAACGAGGCAGGACACGGGCTGAATGGGGCAACACGGGCAGAACAGGGCAGAACACGGGCTGAACGGGGCAGGACACGGGCTGAACGGGGCAATACGGGCAGAACGGGGCAACACGGGCTGAACAGGGCAGAACACGGGCTGAACGGGGCAGGACACGGGTTGAACGGGGCAATACGGGCAGAACGGGGCAACACGGGGACAACGGGGCTGCACAGGAAGAACGGGGCAGGACAAGGGCTGAACAGGGCAACGCGGGCACAACGGGGCAACACGGCCAGAACAGGCAGCACGGGCAGAACGGGGGACACTGGGCGCGGGTAGAACACGGGCAGCAACGGGAGACACGGGTGGGCACGGGCAGTATGGCACGGGAACGGGCAGCAATACGGGCAGGATCACAGGCAGAATCACGGGCAAAATCACGGGCAGAATCACGGTCAGGATCACGGGCAGAACACGGGCAAAATACGGGCAGCACACGGGTATGATCCCGGGCACAATCACGGGCAGCAGTACGGGCAGAATCACGGGCAGAAGCACGGGTGGACAGCAAGGCACGGGCAGCAAGGGATGAGAGGAGGAGGAGGCGGATGATGCTGCAGTTGAAATTTCACCACCCACACCCCTTGAACCTCCCCCCACACAGCAGCAGCAGCGGCGGAGAGAGAGAGGGGGAGGTGTGGCGGCAGTAGCTGCAGATGGATCACCCATCCCCTCAACCTCCCCCTTACATGAGCCGCCAACCCCGCCACTCCCCCTCCCCCAGCCGTCCCCTTCGGGCCAAAACCACACCTCCTCCCCTTCCCGCTGGATACGGAGCCGGAGATGGGGGTGGGGTGGCAGTTGTCGGTGGGGGGGGGCAGGATCTGGGGCAGAACGGCGGTCTGGGTGCAGGTACGGGGTTCGGACGGGTCTCCCGGACGGGGGCACGGACGTCGTGCGTGGTGCGGATGGCGTACGGGCGACGGGCGGGGTGCGGGCTGCGGGTCGCGGACGATCTGGCGCGTGCAATGGCGTAGCAGGAGCTTCTCCCGCCACTCCCACCACTCTCGCCACTCCCGCCACTCCCTTCACAGCAGTTGCGAAATCGACGGGAGGGCGGGCGGGGACCTGGCGACGGGCAGCGGAGTGCGTACGGGTGGCGGGGATCTGGCGACGGGCGGCAGTGCGACGGGACGGGCGACGGGCTGCAGCGAGACAGGGGCGGGTGTCAATCGACGAGGCAGGTGACGGGACGTAACATGACGGGCGACAGCGCAACGGGACGGGCGACGGTCGACGAGGCGGGTGACGGGCGGCACCGCGACGGGACGGGCGACGGGCTGCAGCAGCGGGTAGCGCGGGGCGACGAGCTGCAGCAGGGCAGCGCGACGAGCTTATCGTCATGACGCTCACGATGCGCCCTACGGGCTGCGCGACGTGATGCGCCACGACGAGGGCTAGTGGTGGGCCCATGTAAAACGAACGGTCCTAAATCGGACCTAGCTCTATACCATGTTACAATACTAAGTTAACTAGGAACCGGGTGTAGGGCCTAGGCTTAGAAGCCTAGGCCAAGCGGGTGTCGAGAGAATTGTGGCTAAGAGAAAGTGAGAATGTGTGGAGGTTCACTATATCACACGAGTACATATAGCAACCTAACAAAGGTGAAAGAGGTGCACCACCATTCAAGGGCATTACATAACAGCTACACTACAGGCTGATTATACTAAATAGATATAAATCTATTGTGACAGTCGGAGCGAAGGTCTGGAAGAAGTCCACCCCCTCTCGCTGACTGAAGCCTCTTGCCACGTAGCGCGCCTTGAACACTGGTGGTGCTCCAGGCGGCGGCTTCACCTTGCAGAGCCACATGCCACTGACAACGTTCGCCCCAGGTGGTGGGACGACGTCAACGTAAGTGCCTGTGGACCTATAAGATGCCATCTTTGCCTCCTCACCTGCTATCCAGTATGAAGCCCAGGGTCCCGAGACCGCCTCAGCGTGAGTGCAAGGGATCAGGATGTCAAGGGCATCTGGATCCCCCTGAGAAGCAAGCAGGATGGCGCAGAGATGAGGAACACCGGCCGCAAGGAAACCAAGCTCGAACTGCCTGTCCTCCAGGACCTCCAAGGGGAAGACAGGAGCACCCACAGAGGACGGAGAATGAGGAGTGCCACTCACCAGGTGAGCGGCGTAGTCAAGGCGGTGGGAAGAGGCAAAGGCACTGACAGTAGTGACAAGGGCCGAGACAGACAACGGAGGGGCAGTCGGGTGAGTGACCAACGCGGACAGACGACAGGGCGAGAGGCACGGAGGTAGTCGGACAACGCGTCGTGACACACAGCCAGGGATGACTCAGGAGGCTATGGAACAACAGGTGGAGACGGAACACGAGAGCGTAGAACAAGGTGAAACGGGCCGTCGGCACGGTAACGGGACCGACGAGGCTCTGAGGACATAGCACGACTGAGGGGAGAATGACGAGTCCACTGGGACGAGGAAAGGGACTCAACAGGGGGAACAGGAGGAGACGGTAGGGGACCACGAACCAAGCGTGCAGGTGCTGGGTCGGGCAGGTCGCGCAGTCGCTGCTTCTCCGCCTCCTCTGGCGTTTGCTGCGGCGGCAACTGCCCCTGCTGCTGCTCCTGTGGCTCCTCCTCTGCTCTCTCCTGCTGTGGCTGCAACAACACGTGCTGCTGCGACCGGGACTCCTGCTCTACCCTCTCCTGCTGCGGCCGCAACTACACCTGCTGCTACGGGCGGGACTCCTACTCTACTCCCTCCTGATGTGGGTGCATTTGCACCTGCTGCGGCAATCGTGACTCCTCCTCTACTCTCTTGCTACGCTTCGACTGAGACTGCTGCTGCCGTGACTCTTCCTCTACTCTCTCCTGGTACAGCTGTGACTCCTCCTCTATTCTCTCCTGACGCTTTGACTGGGACTGCTGCTGCTGCTGCCGTGTCTCCTCCTCTACTCTCTCCTGACGCTCCGACTGAGACTGCTGCTACTGCTGCTGTGCCCTCTCAAACCGCTCCCGCTCCTCCCTCTCCAAACGAACAAGACGCTGCTCACGTATCAGGAAACGGACAGAACGCGGTGTAGGCGCTGAGGTGGCAGCGCCTCCAGCTCCAGGACCCCCAGAACCAGAACCTCCACCGACAATACCCCCACGGCCTCCAGTACCTCCAGCAGGAACACCCCCAGAATCCGCAGCGACCGGCCGCGGAGGGGAACGGGGAGGGAACTGCGGTACTGACGGGAAGCCAGGGGGTGAGGCGGGGCAAAGCTGCCGACTCGAGGCAGCAGTGGAGGGGGCTCCACACCCACACCCCCTGCACCCCCAGAGCTGGAGCCACCAGCTCCAGCAGCCCCAGTACCCTCACCCCCCACAGCTGCACCTCCCGCACCCCCAGACATGACAGAGACTGGACGCTGCGGGGGAGACGACTGCGAAGTGACGTGCGACACACCTGACGGGGCAGGACGCGAAGGGGTGGGGGGCTACCGGGGCAACTTGGGGGGGGGTCATAGGTGAGGAAGAGAGGGGGGGGGAAAGGTCTCAGAGCCTCGGTGGGGGCATCTCCTGTAGTATCTGACCAACTCGTCAAAAGTGGCATCCTGGAAACTGAAGAACTGGTAGGTAACCGGATCGTAGAACTGCCAGCTGGAGGTGTCGAGTGGCAACTCCAGCAACTCCTTCAACTCCTTCAGCATCGCGGTGCTGCTGCTGGCGGCGAGCAGGTCGTCGACGTAGACCAGCACCAAGCAGGTCACTCCGTCATCGCCGGCCTTCAAGTAAAGCGCTGTGTCGACCTGGCTCTTCTTCCAGTCAGCGCTAAGCAGCACACTTTCATGTCGAGCTGCATCAGGTTGAGGTCGAGGACGGCGACGATGCCGAGGAAGATCCTCGGCGTGACGTAGCTGCTCACCGGCGAGTACGACTCGTCGTAGTCGGCGCCGTACACCTGCGTGGAGCCCTTTACAACCAGCTTTGTTCTCGCGCTCGACGGTGTTGCCGATGCGGTACTTTGTCGTCAGCACCCACCGGTTCTTCATGATGTTCACGCCGCGTGGGCGTTCGACCAGCTCCCATGTGCCCATGCTGATGAGGCTGCGGATCTCCTTATCCATGGCGGCTTTCATCATTGCAATGTCCCAGCGGTGTTTGGGGTCGGCATGCACGTCGGGGTCAAGCTCTGGCAAGTCGACGTCATCTTTGGTGTCGTCGTACAGCAGGTCATTGTCCGCGTCGTTGTACACCGTGAAGGCAGTAGGTGGCAGGCAGGAGTTGAAGACCAGCCGCAATGGCGGCTTCCGAGTTCGACCTGTGCGCCGCAGCTTAGGCTTCTCGACCGGAACCTCCATCACATCACTGTCGGTGGACTCTTCTCCTGCCAACAGCTCCCCTTCCTCGTTGACGTCCACGTCGTCGACCAGCTGCTTTGACCCTTCGACCGGCTGCTCACCTCTTGCTGACTTCGACAGCTCCCCTGTCGAGCGCCCCGTCTGCTGCTCCCGTGTCGACTACACCCCTGCTTCTGCCTTCTATTCGATCGGCTC